CCTGACTGTCTCCATTCGCTCCTGCCTCTTGCTCTGTGGCTGAGGATGAAGCTCGGAGGGGCAGATTGCCCCTATCTGAGGATGCTCCACCCGTTCAGCCGTGTGGGTGTGTGGGAGAAGTTGGACCTTTGCCTCCCCTGCAGGGGCAGCGGCTGCACTGATTGTGGGTAGGCAGTGTGGCCTAATGCTTGGCTGTTTCTTTCCCTCCCTCCCTCCCTCCCAGCGGCTGGATTGTACTACCTGGCGGAGCTGATAGAAGAATACACAGTGGCCACAAGCCGGATCATCAAATACATGATCTGGGTAAGCATCGACCTGCCTTCCACCTGGGTTTTTGGGGGGTCTCTCTGGCCTGGGCTCGGAGGGAGCAGGAAATGGGGAGCTGGGGGGGGATGACTGGGAAGCCTCTTTGAAGCTCAGCTGGGCTTCCAAACCTGGGAGAGCACACCCACTTTCTGAGCTGCCTTCGCTGGCCCTCTCTCCCCTTTCCAGGGGAAAACACTTACAAGTAGTTCTCAGCTTACAGCTGTTCACTTAGTGACAATTCAAGGTTACGACAACGCTGAAAAAAGGCGACTTAGGACATATTTTCACCCTGACGACCGTTGCAGCGTCAAAATTCGGACGCTCGGCAACTGACTTCACATTCACGACGGTCGCAGCGTCCCGGGGGTGGGTGGGTCCCGTGATCCCCTTTTGCGACCGTCTTGACAAGCAAAGTCAAATGGGGGAAGCCTTATTCGCTTAACGACCGCGTTGCTCACTGAACAACGGCAGTATTTGAGGGGCTGCCCCAAGGAAGAGGGGGTCAAACTATTCTCCAAAGCACCAGAGGGAAGGACAAGAAGCAGCAACGGATGGAAACTCATCAAGGAGAGAAGCAACCTGGAATTAAGGAGAAACATCCTGACAGTGAGGACAATTAACCAGTGGAACAGCTTGCCACCAGACGTTGTGGGTGCTCCATCACTGGAGCTTTTTCAGCAGAGATTGAACCGCTATTTCTCTGGGACGGGATAGGGCCTCCTGCTTGAGCAGGGGGTTGGACTAGAAGACCTCCAAGGTCCCTTCCTGCTCCTATCCTGATTGATTGATTGTTTGTTTGTTTGATTGATTGATTGATTGATTGATTG